TATATATATATATATATATATATATATGCCTTTATCTATGCGGCTCCAGGGGGGAACAATGAAAAGACAGCCCACTCTAATACGTCTTCACACTGTCATCCTTCCCCCATGTGCATGCTGATAAATCGGTGTACCAAGAAGCCGATTCTTCCCAGGACAATGGGTCTTGGCATCCCAACAACTGTAGTCCACACACTTGCAAGAGGTCAATACATGGAGCACATCTATTTGGGGGAACCCTTTACGCACCTCATCAAGGATCATTCACGGAGCCCCACCGCTCTATTTCGCACCACGCCTCACCGTCTTGGCGATCTCCTTTATTTTCTTCTTACCGCTCTTGATGTGGTTCTGTTTTGTCGTTCTACTGCTGGCCACTTTTGCTTTCCCGGCGGCTACCGCCTTCTTTGCCAACTCTGCGTTTGCCTTTACGGGACTCTTTTTTGTGCGTAGAACTTTTGCAACTTCATTCTCAACGTCTAGGGGCTTTGAGACATCGTAGAGCTGCGAGAGAGCCGCAAAGCGCTTGCGGTAGTTGAGCTGCCTCACCTTGTGGTAGTTATCTCGCACAAACTCTGCGAACCCCCCTTTGTGTCTACCCTTCGCGGCCCGCGCGGCGGACTCCCGCTCTTGTCGCGTCATCTTCGAGAGGGTCGGGTGGCGCGCCGCCCGCTGCTTCAGCTCGCGCCGCTGATTCTGCGAGAGCTCCTTGTACATCTTTGAGAGGATGCGCCCCCGCTTCGAGATGGCGCATCCTTTGAGCTCCGGGTTGTTCTTGTGGTCCATCAAGAAGAGTGTGAAGGGGCTCACACCGCGCAGGAGTACAGAGGCGCGAAGCATTTCGGTGGCACAGCTCTTACACACGCACACACGGACGAGGCGTAAACCGTCAAGACGGAGGTGTCTGGCGGGATTCCGGGCGTCCGGCCTTCTTGCAAGCCGCGCGCAGTCCAGACAGCAACAAGTGAAGGAAGAGAGAGAGAGAGAGAGAGCAGAAACAGAAAAAAGAGAAGACAGAAAATAAACACAAAAAAAGTCTCACCGACAAATCCCTCGCAGAGGTGATAAAGAAAAAAGACCCACCCAGACGGTGAGGTGAATAAAGAATCTAAAAAAAAAAAAAGCATCGGTTAGGGAGAGAAACTGGATGCTGTCAGTCACAAAAGCTTAAGCACACAAGAATGGCCGAAGCTTCTGAGAGATGTGAATAGCATCACGAAGTGCACAATGTATGTCTGAAAGAAATGGAACCTCACAAGCGATAGGCTCCTTTATCTCAGTGTGATACCAGCACGCCTCAGCCTCTTCGTCCTTGGATGTGGCCTCTTCCTTTTCATCCCCGCAGGACAGAACTCCCAACACGGTGTCCACGTCGAAGCAACGGATGTCGTGGATGCTCGGTACGTGTAGCTCACTTCCCTCCGTTGCACAGGCGGCAGCAAATACCCATCGCAGCGCGTGAACATCCATGGTGCTTCCCTTGTTCACTAGAACAACGTTATCACACGCCAGATAGCGCCCGATTTCACAAGCAATTTCCGTGTAGTCGTCACGCAGAAAGGTTGCATTGCGAAAAGGAATACAATGGCTCCCCTTTAGCATGTTGCAGCTCAGCTTGCAAGCTGTCGTCACATCCGTCACCTCACCAGGGTGGAGGAAACAGTGGAAACACGGCAACTTCTCTGTGGGTGTGACGGGGACCAGTGCAATCTCCAACGGCAAAGGGATTGCACCACGGGAAACAACCGCCGCCTCTGCGTCAAGGGCGACGAAGACAGCATTCTGCAGGCCCCCAATACTATCAAGAAAATAGGAAAGCTCCTCCGAATTGTGCATTTTCCTCGACAAGATACGATTTAAGGACGGCTTTTTTGCCGAAACCACAAACGCGTCGGTGTCCTTTCCATTTCTCCGACGCCTCGTCTTGTAGAACATTTGATAATCATCAGCTGTCGCAAAGCGGCAACCTGGATACAGGTCCTGCATTGCCCTCACTATTCCCCGATCACAGGAAAGCAGCAGCGCCCAACCTGTTGGTTCGGTGTCAATGTAGCCTACAAAAAAGTCAATCTCGGGGTACTCTGCCTCGTGCTGCTCCCGCAGATGACTGCGGTTTATTGCCGGGTCGACCGGGATGAGCAGGCACTCGCCAGGGTGCTCGTCGAGAAACCGTGTGGCGGGCGAAGGCTTCAATACCAACTCGCCTTCCGCGGCCAATTCCCCACGGAATGAGGGCTGCTGATACATGCAACCTCCGGCATTCGCCTCGTCGACTTGCGCCGTCACCGCCGCCATATCATCGTCTATGTTGTAGTTGTCGTCCTCGTCCTCGTCCTCGTCCTGCAGCACCGCCGTCAGATCAGGTCCCGCGTTCCAGAGCTCAGTGTAGAAATTCGGAAATACCTTCCGAAAAGGTCCTGATGGGTTCTCGAAGAAATTGGAGAACGCCGCCTCCGCGGCGTACGCAGACTGCTCTTGGGACTCTAACTCCGCTTCGAGAGCAACCGACGTTTCATCAACGTTACTTTCGTCCGGCCACCAAGAGAGCACGCTCGCCACGCTGCTCTCTTCCGAGTACATACTGAGTTCTCTCAAAAACAAGAAAACAAACAATCGACGAATGAGCCGCCTAAACAAAGAAAGGAGAGATAAAAATAGCGAAACAAAAAAACATTCATGACCTGATAGTGCGTTGCCCCGCACAAAAAGGAAAGAGGAATCGAAATGGAACCCCAGCGGCGCACCATTCCAGGTGGCAAACGGCGCGCAAGGCCTCTAACAATTTTCCCCCGCGCCCCGGCCAGTGTCGCCAGCGCCGTCAAGCATGGCCACCACAGCTAACAGCTTCTCTGTGTGCTTTTTGTACTCCTCCACCTTGCTTTCGAGGGCCAGCACCTTCGCGTGCTCATTGTCGCGCAGTGCTTTGCTTTTCTCCGCTCTTGAGACCATCAGCTGTCTATCGCTCTCCAGCGAGCGGATTCGCCGCACCTGCCGCTCTCTTTCATCCCTCGAGCTCTCAAAGGATCCCTTCGCCTTCAGCAGGCGCTGCTGGATCTCTGTCATGCGGTCCAACCAGACATTCACCTGCTCCTGCAGCTCCGCGTGCTCCTTGCGGGCCTCTTCCAGGCCCCTCGACTCCACCTCCAGCTCACTCTCGAGCTGCGGCTGACGGGCCACCTCGGCGTCACGCTTCGCCGCGATCTTGGCATACTCCGCCTCGCGAGCCTTCATGATCTCCTGGTATTTGTCCTGGCCGGTAGCGTGGTACTTGGCGTAGATCTCCAGCTGCTCTTTCAGCGACTTGTTCTCTTGCTGCGCCTTCGCGTCGAGCTGCACGACCTCCTCTGAGTAGTTGTTGACGGCGTCGATGGTGACCCGAAGCTTTTCAGAGAGCTTTTCGCGCTCTGCCTCATCGTCCCTACGTGCCTGCTCGTAGCCTTCCTCGGCGGCGCGGTTGAGGCCCTCGAGTGTCGTCCGTATGGACTCCACTTTACGCACCTGTTCCTGGGTCTGCGCCAGCCGCTCCTGAAGTCTCGCCTTGAGCTCATCTTTTTCATGCAGTGTTAACTTCTCCCGCTCCAGCTCCGCTTCACGCTGGTGCATCTTGACGAGCTGAAGCACAAGCCGCTCGGACACGGACACCATCCGCCCGTCACCCTTTTGTTTTTGGTTTCTGCCGGACGCGCGCACACCCACACACAAGGGAAGAAGAAACAAAAAAAAAAAACAAGTGAAAAAAAAAAAGCGAGGAGCAAGCCAATTTAATTTTTTTAAAGGGGGCGATGGGCACCGAGCTCCCCAGGCGTCTTGATGCATGTATGCGCATGGGCCTCGAATAAAGAAAGTGCTTTGCAAACACGCACGCACACGCGCGGCCTCGTGTGGCACAATGCACTGCCGTTTTGCACACAAAACACAAGGAAGGAAAAAATGCGCACCCAAAGGTCGCCAGGGCGAATAGACAAAACAAAGGAGCCCACTCCCACCACGGGGCTTCCAGTTTTTCAGTGTAGATACAAAAAAAAAAAAGAGGAAAAAAAAATGCACTTGAAGGCGAATCACCACGAACGGTTGAGACCCAAAAAAAAAAAAAAAA